AGTTGTTATTATATGATTGTTTCCAAATGATAATATGTTGTTTAGTGTTACAAACTATATGACATTAGTAGATATATGGTTGGTTATATTCTACATGGTTTGTAGGTGTTACATTTTGCTTGGTATATATTTTATTAGCTGATATATTATTTGTTACCCGGTTCATGTTGTCTTAAATTATGCATGTTATTGATTTTTATAAAACTCTGTACATACTTATGATATGCTAACAAACATGCAGAGCGAGCCCCCGAGCTATATGAGCTTGTGAACATGACTTAGACACTTTAGATTATCTATTGTGGTGTTTATGGTTATAAATCTTGCTTTTGATATATATATATATATATATATATATATATATATATATATATACTCCTTTTTTGTGAGCTGTTATAAGAAAATAGTTGGTAACATATTATGAAATAATTGTTGTTAGCTTACACAAATTTTGTTAACTATTATAATATTGTACAAAATAGTGGTATTCATTGATGATTTATTAGTTGTTATAAAATAAAATATTAAATAGTGACCATTAGATGATTTCATCTCTAACCTCATGTGACAAAAATATGAAATGAAGATGTGGAAAACACCACAAATTATGGTAAAAATGTGAAAAGTAATAATTATGAATATGTAAACCAAAATAGTAGCATTCATTGATGATTTATTAGCTGTTATAAAATAAAATATTAAATAGTGGCCATTAGATGATTTCATTTCTAACCTCATGTGACAAAAATATGAAATGAAGATGTGGAAAACACCACAAATTATGGTAAAAAAGTGAAAAATAATAATTATGAATATGTAAACCAAAACAATATTAGTTAAACGAATCATTTATCAATGTTTATATACATATAATACATAAACCTTTATCAGTTAACAATAGCTATAGTCCCTTTGTTATATAGGATCAACAAATCTATCAATATTCATTATTGTGTTTACATAATACAATTTATATTAACAAGTTATAGTTATGTATAGAAGGCTAAAAGAACCAATACCATAAACAATTGTGGATATTCACTTTGTATACTAATCAATGTATCATGTAATAAATCACCTAACAACTAACAAATTATGTATCGAACAATGTGTTTGTTAGCAAATCATGTACCTATCAACAATTCATGTACCAACTGATGACAATTATTATCTAACATCTTCAAAACCATTTATCAATTATCCGCAATCTATTTGTAACAACTAATAATATAAGAGCATCTTTAATGCAGAGACGGTGGGCCCGTCTCTTAAATTTAATTTTTTTTTTGGTTTATCTGATTTTAAAAAAAAAATATTGAAAATGAACCAATTGCAGGCTGCCACGTGTCGTGGGACCTGTAAAACAGTGCGAAAAACCCACAGCATACGTCTGTTATTCCGGGATAGCACACAACGTATTTTCTTATTTTCTGGGTCCCACCAGTGTTTTTCCCTAAAAAAACCCATGTTAGATACATGCGTTAAAGATACTCTAGTATTCAGAATTACAATAAAAAAACTGAAAAAATATGTCAAAACGCATAATATCTGGTAACTAATAAAATATTGACTAACATAAATGTTATCCAGATTTTAAAATAAAACTATGAACTTCCAATGCATCTCCTCTTGAGCAATGATTGATTAGACTGCAACGCAGAATTGTTATTTTAACTGGAAGCTGAAGTTGGATTATGATTCCAAAATGAAAACAAAAACTTCAATTCATATATTGGTGGTAGAAACGAAATGATGAAGAGAATTATTTCGCCGGATGGTTGGTGTCGGAAATGTAAATTTGTGAAAATTGATAAATCTAAAAAAATATTGAATGTTATGAGCTTTCTGTGAAGGATCTGATTCACAACAAATTAAATTTTATAGAAAAAGAAATATAAGTGATTTATTTCTAATGAGAATTGTTTAGAATTTAGATGAGAATTGCTTAAATATGAGAAGAGAGAAGAAAGAGAACTGGAGTATAGAGTTTAGAAAGATAAATGTCTTGGATGTGAAGAGAAAGACTCAATAGTAAAGGAAGAGATGAGTGGTTAAAAAAAACTCATAAAGTTAGATAAATTAGAAAATTAATGGTAGAGATGTAGCTGCAGATCTACGCTAACACAAGTGAGAAAGTGTTAACGTCGGCTTTCTTTTAGAGTAAGAGTTCTCTGACACTCACGTAGAACGTCGTTTCCGTCGAAAGGAAAGAAGGTAAGTTGCTCTTCCTAATTGTATGAGTTACAATTTTTATGTCACATCATGGATACTCTTCAAATATGAGCTTCCACTAATGGTATTTTCCAAATTCTCCCCCCCCCCTCCCTTTTTATATTTTGCAACTGTAAAAGCTCGATTTAGTCCACCATTTGATTTGGTTTGCATATGCTTTGACCTTTTTAGCTGCTGGTGCTGCTGAAACTACTCTGCTTTTTTTTCATTCTCGGTTTTGTTACCTTAAAAGTTTAGGATAACCATTTATTTAATTTTGTCATGAAATCATTTGGAATGTTTCAAATGCAAATTTCACAACCAAATGTGTCGCAACGAGTTTGAGTAGATGGGTATGTGATCGGGGAAAGTAATTGTTTTTACCCTGATTCATATTTCTCCAGATTAATCAAATGTTTAAGGGACCACCTGAGTTATAGGTAACTGCGAAGGAAGAAATATATAACTCAAAATAAAAACACCCACATGAAATGAAAGATATAAACTACATAAACATACAAAGCATAATTTGGAGTACAATATATTGACTAAATTAATTGGAATCAACTGAAAGTTTTATCTAAGAAATTCATTGATCATCATCCAAAAAAAAACTCTTAACATTCAAATACACGATCCAGTTTACACGATCCAGAAAAACCTCTTATTATTCGACGATAAGAGCATGTCTCATATTCCTCAGAGTAGGAATGGTCGAGCGGACGCGCTAGTAAAAGAAGCAAGAACCAGAGGTTATACATTTTTTCATATAGATCAGACCCGGCCAGACGGAGGTGCTCTTTAGAGAATCGGCTCGTCTAACCAATACTTGATATAATTTAGATGAGAGGCTGACAAAAAAAACAAAAAAACCAACAGTAAGACTATAATGACTTTGAAGTCAGTATTAAAATAATACTTTACAAGTATCTTTTCAAATTTTGTAATGAGAACCGTATTATGACAATGTAAATGTGAGAACTTCTTAGCTATTAATAATCATCTATCGAGATTGTGAAAATAAATTTGTGCAAAGCATGGAAAATTTTTGTAACAATTCCAAACTAAATGAATACAAAGCGGGAATCTAAAGTTATAATATCAAATAAAATATCTAAAGTCCACCCAATTTCTTTATTCATTGAATAAAAAGACACTGCGTCTAAAATCAAAATTCATATATTACTAACATCTTTAAAAAATATATACTAAATAACACCATGAATAAAGAACTGAAGTACACTATATAAAGCCTTAAAAGTACTTAAAGAAAATACGCATTACTCATTTTTAACTTCCATGTAAAGAAAAATAATCCACCAAATACGATAATGACTTTATGGTTCTGCTAATCAAACAAAAACATATTCTTTAAGAATTAAAATTATTAAAATAATATAATATGAAAAAAGTTTGATAAAAATTTAAAATAATTAATATTGATGTATATATATTTGTTAAACAATAAAAAATTTAAAAATTCTGCTCGAAGCACAGACAAAATCTCTACACAAAATTCATTACTAATCATGTTCTTGATCTTCTGACAAAACCGCCGAAGATCAATGACTACACAGATTGCAGATGACGATGTTTTAAGCAAAACTCCCATCAATTACACTTTAGGACAATCATCGTTTGTCAATCTCACAAACAAAATCATTATATATTAATAGAAATCAAAGGACATCATGCCAAGTCTCCCAAGGACGAAGGAAAAAAATATATAAATACATAACGGTTTACTCAGAATTAGAGAAACATCAGATTCAAGGCCTAGTAAATTTCAATTTCAAATTTCTTAAACCCATTTTTACTTTATCATTACATTAGGCTATAAAGTTATACCAATTTATATATTTGGTAGACTATTTCAAACTTTTTTTGCTAGCCTCAAAAAATCTAAACAATATCCAGTAAAAAAATCTAAACACTTAATAATTATATAACTATATAATGTTATCAATTTCTAGAGTTACTCCTTTATAAAAAAAATAGATTAGTTCAATTCCATATTTTCTGAATTAATTTCAGGTAGAATAAGGAAAATAATTTATTTACTGTTCATATAAATTGTTAAATTTAAAATCAAAATTTTATGTTTGTTTGTCTTCCACTATTTGAGTTATATATTAACAAATACCTAAGTTTGGTGACTTTTGAACAATGAAACCATTAATAACTCTAATGGTCTATTAGATCTTTAAAAGATAAGATATATAAGTGCTTCCGCTTATGAATCCGCTGGTCACTCTTATATCAACCTAATCAAGCTATGTAACTTCCATTCTTCTATTCATAGAAAATTATAGATAACATGGGAAAACATTTAAAAAAAAAAAAAAACTGATGATGAAATCTCAATACCAAAACAACACAATGAATCAACAACGTACCCGGCACCCTGCTTGTGTGGAGACTATACCTTTGGTAGATACGACGAGAGTGATCAAAATGAAGTATATATGTGTATCTATTATATAAAACAAAGCTTCACTCCCTCTAAGGCTGTCCACCTCAGCGCCAGCATGGAAAGGCCAGGTCAGCATCCGTTTTGAGCCAAAATCGTTTGGACTTCACTTTACTATTCATGTTAAGACCCAGTTGTTTATTATTCTCTCATTTTTGTAAGGCCTAGTTGTTTATTCACAGATACACGGCTTAAGTTTAGATTTCCTGACCCGTTTAACACAAGCCCCCTAAAAGTATTGTATGCTTCCTTCTCCACCGTGACTCGCGAACCTTGCCTTTCTTCGTCCCCTCAGATCACAAACAGCAGAAGTTAATGCATGGTTCGATACTCCACTGTCTTTTTCTTTGATTTGAAAATCGGGAGGAGCTCATCCGTTCAGGCACGCGTCCTACGGCTCTGGGAGGCACGCCGTATGAGGCATGGGGTCAACATGAAGTTCATCGATCTACTACTCATCGATGGGCATGTAAGCTTGGCATCTTTATTAACTTTTATTTTCTTGATTTAGGCCTCTTTGTGTTATGATTCTATTTTTCTAAGTTAGTTTTTCAGCAACTAGGGTTCTTATTTGTTTAAATGGGCAAAAACCTTGAATCAGTCTTTAGAATACAGAAAAAAAATCATTAACTATTGTTCATCAGTTTTGGAGATTCGTTTATTGCTCTGATTCTGTTTTCGTTTTGTATGAGGTGCCCAACTAATTTGTATTACAAGTGTTCCATCTTTATGTATTCCCGACAGTTCTATATCATTCTCCTATGTACCCTAATGCTTGGTGGAATAACTATTCTGCTCATTTTCTCTTCTCTGCTGATTGTCTATTCTCACTTCATACGAGGTTGTTTCTGAGTTTCAGATGAGTTTGTAAAGACACCACATTGGATGCCCAATTGTGTAGCTTGCTCATATCGTATGCTCTCAACTCTCATCATAGTTCTCAAGAAAAACTCAGCTGGTTGAAGAGAAGTAGCTTTCATCTCACGTTCTTTAAGAATGCAGTAAAAAGCTGATAATTTTCAGTGAATTTCCTTTATTGCTGATATTTTCAACTGACTGAAGTCACTTTTGTATAGCACTAGAGTTTTAGAACACGGTATACAACAATTATACAAGGAATACATAAGATCTGACATGATAGTAGATGACTTAACATAAGACAAACAAACTAAAATAATTACTCCACTAAAATAAAAAATGAACAATGTTTTATTCAAACAATCATAACTATTGTATATGAAATTTTTTCAACAACGACTTTGATGCTCAATCTTCTAATAATCACAGATAGAATGAAAAACAAAGAATATATATATATATATATAACCAAACTACTGAACCTGAAAATAAATGTAAGACAATATCATTTAACAAATATAAAATACACTCAGTGAAAATTTACAGTAATATAATTATATACATCAGGTCACCCCAAAAAATATAATCAATATAATATTAATTATTCTAACATAATTAGATATACATAAATATATTTAAAAAATAAATAACAAAATTGTATATTCATAATACTGTTAGGTTAAAATGTATTCTTCGCATATTGTGATGTAAAAGAAATGTATATTAATTTATACTCATTATTAAGATTTAATACATAATATATACATAAAAATATAAAAATGAGTTAAAACCCCCTAAATTTTTTTCTTGCGATCTACTCATTGATTCAAATTAATACATAACTATACGAAAACAGTAATAATATATAATATATATACACAAATAACAAGGTTTATTTAGTCTCCACGTACAATACTATATATGTAAAGTTTCATATATAAGAATAATATTAAACCTATAATATAACTGTTTTAATTATTTAGATTTTACATCCTGCCCGTAGGACGGGCCGGCTCTAGTTTAGTTATATTTCACTCCATATACATAAAGAGTACGGAAATGTGTGTGGTTGAAATTGGTCATCACTAAGCTATTAAGTTTTTTTTGTTCTACCAACATATTCAATAAATTACATAAAATTAACAAAATGTACATTTACATTTTTAATACAAAATCGTTTGTTACTATTTAAAGAAATTACAGAAAAGTTCAAAAGTGTTTAGATTTACTTGTCTTAAAATGCTGGATTTATTTTTGGTGGTCTATTTCAAGTTGGGACATCAATGTATCCAAAATACTCTACTTTTACATTTGTATTCATAAAAGTTTACATTTATCTATATTTTATAGTTTTTATATTACGATTAAAAGTTGATTCAGAATTATCTACATACTTTTGTTCTGCTCCAATCCAATTTTTTTGAATTTGATTTATAACATGTTAGATCATAGAATAACAACAAAACGATAAAGAGAAACAAATGATAGTACCACACTGAAAACTAGTGAAAACAAACATCATAGATGCCACATTAGCCATACCAACTTGTTTTGTTTCAAAATAAGGTAAATTAGGTGTTTCCATTCCCGCAATAGCAGATGGACTTCTAATGGATTTACTGAAAATATGACAATAATTCTCATTGTCAAGATAAATCTTCTTCTCAATTGCCCAGTTTAAAAGAGCATTAAACATTACTAAGCATTGCCCATAATACTAGTCTAGAATAATCTATGTGCTTTGAAATAGTTTAACTGAATGGCTATCAAGATTCAATATGTGCGTATCTCCGCTTTTTAAACCCATAGACAGTTGGTATTTTTTAATATATAAACTATTAAAAGAGAAGTACAATTAAAAAATAACCCTAACTTTTCTTAAAGAATTACATTTCATGCCACTGACCTAAACCATCATTAACAATTATAATAAACCACCGGAATTCAGTATATTAATTTAACCAAACATTACGTGTAAACTGTCATAACCACTTTAACAAACCACCTCAATTCACGTATGGCAAACCTATACCGTAAGATTATCATTAATCTGTTAACTCAAATTCATCACAAATCAAATTGAAACAGTACGTCTAAACTGTCATATCAATTAGTATTTTGCCATCGTTCTTCTCTAATATTCGTTAATATGATGGCCCAATTATTATCTTACCCATATATTTGAGTTGATAAAAAAAATTTAAAATTTGATAATATAGCTTAATATTAAGAAAATGTATGTTGAACCTTAATGTCAAAAATATATATTTTATAATTATAGAGTATATGTTCAATTAAAATAAAAATTACTATTTTTATCTACCATAAAAAAAAATATAATAAATCCATTTTCAACTAATATAATTTATTTGATTATTTACATTAATAAATTAATATATAATCATAATAAAATATTTACACAATATTTTTAGAAAATCTTAACAATTCATAATATAAGAAATCAATTTAAATATAAATTAAATATTTTTATTTTATTAACTAAGTAAATTAGTATAAACTATGGTATTACATATTAGTAATGTTTAATAAGAAACCTAAACAATAAGATTACAGAGTTACCAAATATAAGACAGTTAATTATATACTTGAAACGTTTAATACAATACCATAATTATACTTTTATAAAATAAAAAAATACCCGCACGGACGTGCGGGTCAAAAATCTAGTTAATATTTAAAACCGGTAATATAAATATTGTGTATATATATTGCTTCCTATTTTTAGTTATTAGTTTTTCGTCCACAATATTTATCAATAGTTTTGCTTTTCAATATATATGATTTGGATACTATTAATACATATCATAAAATAAATATATGTGAAACTACTTTTAACTAGTTTATCAGTAGTATCTTATACTACTTTTTATTTTTATTTTTAATATAAATATATGCTTTAACAAGACCTTATAAATATTATAATAATATGAATATTATAATTATATCTATATATTTTAAATTGTGTGTATATATATTGATTCCTAATTTTAGTTATTAGTTTTCCTCCACTAGATTTATCAATGGTTTTGCTTTTCAATGTATATGATTTGGGTATTTCTAACAATTTTGAAAATATTAAACATTAAGGTAAAAAGTCATATTTAACTTGTGGTATTTCTAACAATTTGAAAAGTGATATTTAACTTGTGGTATTTCTAACAATTTTGCAAATAGTAAACATTAATCAATACTTCTATTATTCTCTTATATGGTGAAAGAGGTTGAGATTTGTTTTTTACTAGTTACAACTTGTTTGCAGGTTATTTTATCAAGTAAGCACAATATTTAGACCACTGCAAAATGGGTCTTATCGCACCAATCTTATTTATTTATTTTTTAAATCCAAATTTCTAGAACAATATATTTGTTTTATATAATTTATGTATATTATACTACGAACTTATTAAGAGGTTATCAACTGTAAATATGCAATTTTTAATACGATAAAACTTTTGGCATTGTAAAACTTATTATTTTGTAATAAAATATAGTGAAAATTTTAGTTTACCCTTTATCAGTTTATTACTAGAACATCTATAATTGATTTTAATTACTAGTTTAATTTCCGTTCTTGTTTTTACCCCTAAGTCTTTTGTTATCAAAAATAGAACCAAACTAGTAATTATGTGATAAATAAGAGTCATTTTAAGTAATAAGAAAAAAAAAAGTAATGGTTTGTGTCTTTATATGTAGGGCGTTTTGCAAATTTGACCTAGAACTTGAAGTCAAATACAAAAGTAACTTCTGTTTTTTTGGAAATTGATTTTTCCCTACTCATCCCATAAGTTCATATAATTCACAAAAATGCCATCATTTTTTTCTTTTCAAAAATGACATTTTTACTCTCTCACCCTCATCATATTCAAGTAATTACAAGATTTTCATTGTCATCAATACCCCAACCACCATGAAGAACCAATTTGAAGCTCTTAATGCTTCCAAATCCGATTTACCCTTCTTATTTTTCCATTCTTATAAACTAGAAAAAACATCTCTCTCACTTTCTCTCCACATTGAGCTAAAAAAAAATCAAGATTTTGATTCTACATTTTTTATGGTTCATATAGTTAAAGTAACTAACGATTATGGGTGGGTTACTTTCATTTGAGATTATGTATGCTTGGAGAAGCCTTATGTGTGCTAAAAGTTATCTCACAAATTTAAAGTATGATATCGAATTTTTTCTAGATCTGTTCGTCCAGACGACTTACCTGGAAGTTGTATGGTCAATGCAAAACCCATATTTGCAATTGACTTTGATATTTTTTTTCTAGGACGACTGAAATATCAGTTGTTTGCATTAGTTTGGTTACAAAAAAATCTCTTAAGAATCTGGACGACTGAAAGTTCAGTCGTTATATGTTAGTTTTGCATTTGACTAGAATATTTCAGAAGTTTGACTTTTACGGAAGACTTACATTTCAGTCGTCGGAAAAAATTGAAATATCAATATTTTATTGAAACTCAAGGACTTACATTTCAGTCATCATAGGTTAGTTTTTCAATTGTGAAAAAAAAAAAACTTCAACTTTTAATTATATCCAGACGACTTACAATTCAGTCATCCATCGAAAGACTTATAATTCTGTCATCCAGAATTTTATTCCGAGTTCTGGTCAAACCTCGTAAATCCTTAATGACTGAATTTTAAGTCGTCTGACGGACAAC